TGTGGACCAGCTCTTGAGGTAAACTCCTGGTTCTTATCAAAACCTGTCCTTCGTAAGGGGCCGCCAATCTTCCCGCGGCAATCAGTTCTCCTTCCTTCTGGTCTGGCAACCTTGGCCAGCCGTTATTGTCCCTTGGCTTCATCCCCTCCCGATTCTTCCCGTCCTTGACTAGGGTTCTAAATTCACTAAGTAACTATACTACAGACTTTAAGGAAAAAAAACCAAAAACATCCAAGCTAGACACTACTGACTTTAGCAAAGCAACTGCAAACTAGACAATACTAACTTTAGCAAAGCAACAGCAAGCTGGACAATAAGGCCTAAATTTTATGCTTGTAAGCTGTTTTACATCTGGGGTCTTTTGACCCTTAAGGTATCACTGGCAGGGTGATACAAATGGCTGCTCTCTTGCATGCCTGCCTGCACCCTGCCGTCCACTCACGCTGTGCCACGGCAGACCAATCCCTTCTGCAAAATACCGTTACAAAGAATCCTAGCTAAAGCAACTTTATATTAAAGTAGTTGTAAGGGAAGCTGTGCGATTGAGCTGGTAAGTGGTGACGTTAGGACTGTGGAGGTGTGGCATCTTCACAGCTTTGTTTCAGACTTGTTAGTGCAAAGTGAATCCCTTTGCTAATCCCTTTTGAAGCCTTTGCATTTCTAACAGAGAATTAACGATAATTTTTATCTTCTTATAATGTATATTAATAATTGTACACTGGGGGACATTTCTTGTGTGTCATTTTATTAGCCCAACTGGCCTTTTTAGTCCCTATTACCGCATTTGAATAATGAGGGGAAACGGGTTCTCTGTTGTTTACACATCATGATCCACATGACTTCATGACTGAAGTGGGCTGTACTGGATGATTTTTTGCTATCCAGTTTTCAGTGATAAATAAAGCCTGGCTTGCCCAAAATGTTCTGGATCATATGTTTCTTGTAGTCAAACAGCATTCTGACATAAGTTTTCTCTTTAGACGCCTCTTAGGAAATTAAAATCATCCTGTGTTCACACCAGGAAAGAGTTCTGCTGCATGCATATCCTTCCAGTGTTAGAAGAAAAGTCACATGACTTTTTTGCAAATACGTAATTGCTCTTAAGGGTTGGCAAAACACTTGACGCATCCAACAGGAAGTTGGGTACAGCCACTTCTAGGGGAAGAATGTGACTGTGAACAGCAGAGGCAAACAGACATAAATAGTCATCAGAAGAGTTATAATTAGCCAATGTATATGTGGTGTTTGAAAGATTAAAATAATTAACAATTCAAGTGGAGTTATTGTTAGCAGCAGCAGCCATTTTCTTGAGAGGCCATCTCTGGTAAGTGCTTTTGCAAGTAAGGGTAGTCCAATGGTATGTGAGCACTTACAAAGAATGGGAGGGGATAAAAATCTTGCTGGAAACATCTGATGCAGGATTTTCTTGTGTTTCTTGAAGCAAGGAAACAACTGTGTATGTATTTTACACATGCAAACACCCAGGTCTTGCTTCCGTGATTTCTTCTAGGACTTGAGCATCATCAGTTTACCTGGCTTTTTTGTTTCATGGTGCCAGCATGACACCTGTACCTTCCTCTCCAGCAGACACAGCTGAACTGTAGTGTGTCTGTCAGAAGCTCAAGCTGCAGCTTCAAGTAATTGTGTTTCTCTAAAATGGCTTTGTTCTACTTCAGAATTTCACTGGCCCATTTCTGCAAAGGGGAAAGGCACACCTGCAGCTCAGACTGCTGGGGAGAGGAGCTGCTCTCATCTTCCCACTTGCATTGCCAGAAGATAAGTTCTGCCTCATTCAAGTCAGGCTGGGGAGGGCTGTAATCTAAGCCGAGCTCAGCTTGTTGGGTTTTGTAGGCCATCTGGTGGAAAATGGGCAAAGAGGTGGCCTCTTGGGTAGAAATCTGCTGGAGAAATGATCTGCCAGAAAGTCAGATAGCCCCTGTGCAACATCCCCGATCCCCGCAAAGTTCATGGTGAGTGGGGCTGGGAGCAGAGAGGCCCTCACCAGGACAGCATGAGCAGCGGTCCAACCTGCAGAGAGATGCATAAAGCTGAGTAGACATGTTAAATGTTAAGCTGGACCAAAGTAAAGCTCTTCCTTGAAGCCTGCTCAGGACATTTCTATTTGGTACCAGTCATAAATCTCTATTTGTTAGCTTGCCTAAGTTTCTTTTCTAAGAAAATAATGGAGAAACTCTGCAGCTCTGGTTCAAGAGCTTTATAGGTATCTAAGCCTACATGGAGACACTTTGCCTGTCTGGAAGTGATGCTGATCTCTGAGTAGGTTTTGGAGATACTATTGCAATGCAAAAAATAATTATCAATAATTCTCTTATGGGTCAGCATTCACCATTTCAGGGAGAAGAGAACAGTGATCAGAGTTTAAATACTTGCTCTGTAAAGATCACAGAACTCATTACCCATCACCCTGACCCCATCATTCTATGCGCCTTCCCTTTCCTAGCTAGATGTTATACATCTGTTCTTCTGCTTCCCTCACAAGCTTCATTCTTCATGTCTCAGCTAAATGTGTTGCATGTTCCTTGCATTTGCATCTAAGCATGTATAATTCAGGATCTTACAGTTAATCTGCAAACCTGATTAACTCCCAACAAATACTGCTAGCAACTGACATGCTTTATCATCTGAGGTGTGAAAATGGGGAATACATGGAAGTCTCATACTACCAATTCTTTGTAGGTTTCTCTGTGTATGTGGCCTCCAGTCAAAAGCCCTAGCATTCAATTACAACCTTTGTATTGTTACCCGTGGCTTTAGAAACGGCCTCTAACTGTGGTGCTGTGACAAATACAAGCTAAACAATGCTATTAAATATGCATGATGTGTGTTCTACCATATTAGAATGTGGCCACATTCATGATCTGCTAATGCTGCCAATTCACAGCTTTGCTAATGCAGCCTCCCTCTCGCTTTTCCTTTGGGCAATTTAAGAGGCTTTTTGGTTCTACTTCACCTTTACTTTCTTCCTTTTTACCTGTTTTGTCTTTATTTGTTAGTTTGAAAATGGTGGTCTGCAGCAGAGGCTGGGTAGCTGGT